GAATCATATCTAATAGTGTTTGATTTCTTCTTTTGAATACACCATTTAGCTATGGTGAAGGGAATAACTGTGGGATTATTCTGTTATCCCTGAGATAGTCCTTGAATTCATTTTAGAGACACCCACCTCCTTGATATGATTGAAGGGCATTGATCAACTTACCCTAACTGCTTATCGACCTCTTGCTTAAATTCCTTGAGCCCCTCAAAGACTCAAATTTGTGTCACATTAGGTATATGTATCCATACCATGAAAAATCACCGGAAAAGGTAAATGAAGTAGACATATCCACCTCGTGCCATATGCTCATGGGACCACATATATTGGTGTGTGTGTGTGTGTGCGCATGCGCGCGTATCAAATCTAATATACTCGTGGATCTTTGGGCTTTTCTAGTAAATGACCTTTTAGTCATGTTGCCTTGCAAGCATGATTTACAATCGAACAGATTTTCTATGTTTTAAAGAAATCCAAATGACCATCCTTAGTCAATTTTGTGATCATTTCTTTGTTTATGTGGCTAAGCTTGTAGTGCCATAGGTAGGTGGGGTTAACAGTTTTGCGAGTTCTTTTAACGAAAATGGTAACTTTTGTTTGTTCAGCCACATTAGATTCTAGGGAAAGATGTAGATGTAGTATGTAGAGATCATTCTCTATTTCACTTGTAGCAATGATTTTTCTTTTCAATTTAAAATAGTAACCTTATTACAAAAAAAAAGAATATCTATCACTACTAAGTTTTGAGTTAAAAATTAAATTTCTTTTTAATTACGGAGTACAAGGATAATTTTTTTTTAAAAATTAAAATTCCATCCCTAAAAGATAATTCTACTACTCCTATAAATGTAGTAGCAATAATTGTTGATGTCCGCATGTAAAGCACTACCTTGCTTTCACTCAACCTTTTGCTTTCCTTGAACCCTTATAATGTGTTACACACATGAAGATGCACTTGAGTTAATACACTAGGAAAAAGTAGAAGTGGCCATCAAATTGACCCATATGATATTGTCTTTAGTCTTAGATTTGATAGGCTTCTTCTTAATGGATTCCAAGTATTACAAGTAGTTTCTCTCACAATGTTCTATTTATTTGCAGAAGTGACACTTGTTAGATGATTTGTCTCTCTTTTCTTTTTATTGGGGCGTCACTGCTTTTTTCGAGCTTTCTTTTCCCTCTCTTCTTCTTACTAGTTATGGCTATAGGTTTGTCCTTTTTGATTAGTTCCTTAGCCCTCTACAACATATTGATGAGTTCTTGTAAGGCAACTTTCATTGTTCATGTTATAATTTAACATGAACTAATTAAAGGGGAGACAGAGAAGGATTGCATTGATTTTTGTCTCGTCATTTAAGTCAACACTAAGAGAAACCAATTCATTTATGTAATCAATCATATTCATGTGATGGTTATAGACTACCATACTCTTAATCATCTTTGTGGTCAACTATTTAAGCCTTAAGGACCTTTTGCTTGGTAGAATGATTTTGCTCCTCAAACATCTGTTTGGACATTGGAGTATTTCTTTTGAAGTGGGGAGATTCTCACGTTTTTTTTGATGCATTAATAGATGCACGAATTTAGCATTTGGCAAGATAATTCTTATCTTTCTAATCATGATATTGTTTTCTATGCTTAGAAGCATCTTCACCAAGATCTTTAAAGGCATCCTTAGTCACAACCTTTAAGCTTATAGTCATCAAACTGCTTGGCTAGGGAACTGAATGTCATTTGTAGGAGAAAGAACATCTAGCCAATTCATAACCTAAATTCATTTGTCATACCAAAATGAGATTTCGTCTAGGTTTCTCTCTCATTTATTCATCTTCGACAATTCCCTCATGTCTAGATAAGGAGAGGAGGCGTTTTCACACTTTTAAGAGTGTAAGGAATTACATAGGTGCATATAGCTAACTTTCGATTGCATAGCTCTATTGCTTTTGTGAATATCCACTCATCTAATGAATTCCTTTTAACATCTATTGTACTAAGGTTCATTACCATTTTAAATTAAACTTTTTTTTTTAATAGCTAAGTGCAAACCCATCATATAAAAACATGAAGATTACCATAAAAAGTCTTTTATTTTAGGATAAACCTCTCTAATCAGTTTCTAACATCCTATCATCTCATGAAATGATTTAGGAGCATCCACAGTCAAATAGATAGCCCCACTTTAGGGTGCATCTCCACTTACCGTTCCAACTCAACTTCTCACCAACGATAAAAGGCTTTTAAAGATAACTTCCAAAGTTCACTCCTATATCTACCACTTATATATTTAGTGAGGGAACATTCAGATTTGTAATCCTAAGTCCTAACAGGTCTAGGGTTAGGCCAACCATGGTGACTCCTATTAGTCTTCATAAGATGAATCAATGCTAAGTCCATGTGGGTTAAACAATTTGAGGATTCCTTTGGGAGGAGTTTCAAATGGCCTCAATTTGGGAAGGGGATTATGCAATAATCCTTTGGAAGGGGCTAAGTAGGTTGGCCCCCAAGAAATGATCTAGAGGCAAACATAACCAAACTATTATGGCCATGTGTGATTCAACACACTAGATATGTTATCACAATCACATAGCAACTAAATGTAATAATAACGAAAGCAACAAATAAGGCCTAGCCCACTTACATTAAAACACTACAGGCCCACTTAATTAAGTAGTCATGTGACTAATCATATGACATTTTAAACAACCCAAGTTATGGGCTTTTTACAGGAGGCAATTCGGCCCCATATGCTAGTGCTGTCAACAAGACAACAATGGAATTATCTTGCTTTAATGTCAACTGGGTTGGGCTGTAAACATGGGGCAACTTAGTTAAGGTTCCAAAACCTCAAACCTCTGATCATATGCTAAATAGTCACAATAGTGGTGTGATTTTGGGCTGCAACAAATTGCTCCCAACATAGCTAGAAATCGCCCACCAAGATGGACAATTTGTATCCATCGATTTCAGGGTTTGATGTGTTGCAACTTCTACCAAATTGGTATAATGTGATATGAACTAAAAGTAATCAAATTATGCAATAAAACACAATAATAAAAAAAAAAACATGACTGCAATGGTGGGGACAAAATCTTGTTCATCTTGTAGAAATTCGATCAAGATCCCATCTTGCAAATTGAACCAAGATCTCCATCTTGTGTATCGATCCATGATCTCTATCATGCTTCTCTTTGTTCCATTTTCAGGCCCTCCAAAATAATAAAAAAAGAATGTACTTTTCTAATTCTTACAACAGGAAAAACCTAATACATATTGATTGTAAACAAGAAAAACAAAAACTTTGAAAACTGGTCCAAGTTGAATTACAATCCTTTAATGATACAAATTAAATAGATAAAAGCACACACTTTAATTCGACCAAACCACATTAGATATATAGCAATCATCACATGAATTAAACCCTAATTTTTAAGATCACATTTCCCTAAGATGTAATCTAATTAAACCTTCAATTTAACCAATAAAATAGAGTAGATTGCTATATGCGATTTCAACAAGATAATCGAATCAAGATTGGGTCTAATTGGGCATGATTCAAATTCCAAAAAATTTAAACCAAATGCTCTGATACCAATTGGAAGATGTGACTATCATATGGGGTGAATTTTCTGTTCAAAACTTTTTCCAAATTAGGGTTCAAGAACCCAAGAATTCGACTAGGATAATAATAAAATTGCATGGGAGAAAACATGTATTTATCCTCAAGATCGATTTTGGGGTTTGAATCAAACTATATTAGACCCAAAACCACAAGAAAGATAAGAACTTTACCTAATAGAATGATCCTCACAAATGCAAGAACTGTTGTGGAGTTTGCACCCAAGAAATCAAGCTTCCCTCTCAAGCGGTTCAATCAAATTGAAGATGGCAGAGTCTTTGTTATTTATAGATTTATAATAAAGCCTAATTAATCTATAGAAAAGTACTAATTGAATTAGGTAATGGCTGATCTAAGATTAGTTACTAATTCAGTCCTAGTTTGATTAGTCAAACTAGCTAGGTTTCTAGTCATTCTAGATAACACCCAATTTTGTTTGAATCACTTCCAATAGGTTTTAATTTCTTAAAGAATAGGAGAGAAGCCATTCTTGTATGGTGTTGGACCCCCAAAGAGGATCTCATTGATTGATATATCAAAATTAGTTATGCTAGATATCTAGCTGAGTACCATTATCAAGTAAGAGATCACAAGCAACTGTTTAACTATTCCACCTATCCAAAAGTCTAGGAATAATCTAAAATTTGGTCCTGATTAGCGTTTCAAGTAAATATCCATTTCCACACTTTGTGTTACAATCCTAGTAGATGAGACAGTCTGCTCCATCACTTGGGTAGTGTGTGAATGTTAACCTTGTTAGGATTAAACTACCCAAGTGTATCTATTGATGAGACCATTTAGACTGCATGCTGAATATGATGCGTCGAGCATAATCCTAAAATGCAGTACAAGGGTTAAATTAGTAGAAGCACATCACTTGACACATGAAACAATTGCACTTTTATTCATAATAATAGTCAAATACAAACACCATTTGACCTGAGGGATACACTGTCCAACGCAAATCCCATTACCACCGATATAAGATGAATAAGATGTGAAAATATAGGAATATGTAAGATGATCAAGACAAGAAAAAGGAAAACTTTAGGGATTACTTTGAAAGAGCCCATCAAGTACATCTGTTCAATATTGCATAAAAGTAATGTCAATAGACTGCTTTGAGCAATTTGCGACATCTGGGACTTCTTCTCTAATATCCATTTTTACATTTCTGTATAGAGATAACATGCTAATATTTGATATTCTACAATGGATCTTGGTATTTCATTTCAAAGGCCTTCTACTTTGAGTTGCACTATTAGATGGGATGCCACAAATTAATCTGAGCATATACTTATGTAATTTCAATTTGTGGTTGAGCAGATGGTGCAATTTCAGCTTCATTATATTGAGCTTATCACATTATTTCCACTAAGCCTTGGACTTTGAACCGGGGAAGGCTTGAATTTGTAGATTTAATAAGTTGATATGTTGCACTACATGCATGTAATGGTGGATCAAATATCAGCTTACACCTCCCAAAAAAGAAGAATTATCTTTTCCTAATATTCTGAACATTTTCAAAGTCCTCTAAATAGGTTATAGCTCATGGATATTACAAAGGAACATGGCTTTAAATATAGGATTTTGGCCCTTTTGGACCTAGACCTGATTTTTTTTTAAACTTTTGGAATCTTAGGTATTGAGTGTTGACTGGGAGAGCCTCAAACCTCAAAAGGTACAGCAGAGTCTGGCCTAACACGGTTCAAACGAACTGTCCCAAGAATGTACTCCGGAAGTTCTGGCTCTTCCTTGGCCTGCAAACATAGCCCCATCAATTTCTTCTTTTGTGGGACTGAATTTTCATTCAATAGGAGGCGATTTCATCACAAAACATAGTGATAGACTGTTGTAAGCATCAATGCAAACAAAATTATTTGAAGCACTCTAAAGGAATTGGCAAGAATATTTTACATAATCAACTTTGAAAATGTTAGGATAAATGATTGTTGGTTTCTGTTGAAAATAGTTTCTGTCTAGCAGTGGAATATTAAGGCAATAGAGCATGTATATTTTGGATCCCATACTAATAAATACTGTCAAATTTGCTTAACTAGGGATACAGAATTTAATGGGTCTACTGGGGAGGTTAAAAAATTAATCTTTGTTCTACACTGGTTACTATCATCTTTCTTGCTGGTTTTTCAAAAGATTTATGGCAGATGTTTGCAAATATTTGATTACGTGACAATTAACCTAAGGAATCCCTGGCTGAGGACCTCAGTGACCAGAGACATGTAACCAAGTCCTGCCTCCTGCTCCAAGCCGCATGATTCATGGTATGAGGGACAGGAGTACGTTCCTAAGTTTCTCAGAATTTGGTTTTAATGGTCTCTGGTAATAATTTCTATTTGCAGTGATAAAATGAGGTACTAGGGTTTATATAGCAACATTATTTGGCTACCCTTGATCTTTTAACTCGTGTTATATTTTCCTACTTACAAAACAAGACAGAAAATTTCCCTATTCCTATACCAATGCAATAAGTACATGGTTTTTTTTTTCCTTCTCCCGATCTTTTCCCTCTATAAATCTGTCCAACTCATCTCTCTCAAATACATATCATATCTCCCCAACTTCTTTTGATTTTAATCAACCAGACTTTACATATGATGCCCCTTTTCTGCATATAACATAGTTAATCAAAATAATTATATACAATCAACTCAACTCAACAAAGCCTTGTCCCAATGGTAGTGGTTGGCCACGTGAATCCTACTCTGTCATTCTGTTCTATTCAGTGCCATATATAAGTCCTTAAATCATTTCTCAGTACTTCAACCTGCTGAGAAGTAGAAAGAGGCACCACTTTGAGGCCAAAATTGTCCTTTTGTCTCTATTATTAATCATGGGCTAAGTTATAATTTTCCTGTATTAGTATAAATCTTAATGAAAGGGCCATGCCGCTGATTTTTATCTCTTCCGGTTTTCTTCTTCTTTACAACTTGGTATCGGAGCATCTCTCCAATCAGGGACTGATTTTTGCAAGGATGTTTGGCTGCTAATGTCAGTAGGGCATATGGTCAGCTGACTCACTTCTACCCCTTTGATTGAAAACCTAGTTTATGATCAAGCATGATTTTACAGATTTATCAAACCAGTTGGTTTCTGCTTAGCTATTAAAGATTTTCCTTTCAGGAAATTTGAAGAAAAACAGATCCGGAGGTTAGATTGATTCTGCTATAGTTTGGGAGTTTTCTGAGTAATGGTCGGAATGGTTCAAGTTGCTTGATATTAGTGAATACCCCAAAACTTGATCACTTTGATGGGAGCTATATTTGAGTGTGCTGTGCTGTTTTCTCAGCAACATATTTGTCATCCAGTCTGATACATGCCTATTTCACTGCTGGGATGCAATGAATACATATATCTGTTACTTGTAATCTCTGACAGACCTGATATTTGATTCAGCAGTTTGGCTGACCTTTGTTTACATCTGTATCTTCTTTGGCCTCTATTTGGAGTGGGCTGGTATGCAATGAATGATGTATATCTGTTACTTGTAATTGTCCTTTAATACAGAATGGGCTGGTTCACGTATAAATCATTGGCCTACTACATGGTATTGCACCTTCCTAGGTGGAATCTTGTCTCTTGGAAGAGCGCAAAGCAAAATGTAGTAGCTAGATCTAGTGTCGAAGCAGATTATAGAGTGATAAGTCATATAACAGATTAACAGGTCACTCAATATGGCTCAAAAGTCTACTTAAGGAGATGGGAATCATAGTGACACTTCTTAATTTCCAATGCATCCCCACTGTGACAACTAGCAGCTGTACACATTATGTTGAACCCTATATTTCATGAAAGAGCAAAGCATATTAAGGTTGACTACCATTTCACTTGAGAAAGATTTGAGTTGGTGAATAATACCCCATTTGTGAAGACTGAAGATCAACTAGCAAATTTGCCACCAAGGCTCTACTACATTGACCTCAGATTGACTTCTTTGATAACAAGTTCGATCTATATGAAATATATACACTGGCTTGAGGGGGAGTATTAAGAAAGTAGTTATTATTTATTTTTACTGTTTGTTTGCTGTTTACTCTTATTTATATCTGGGGGTATATGTGTGCTCAACTTTTTGCTTAAATAGGGTAATTTAGGAATCACAGTATTTTCATAAACAGGGGTAGTACTGTAATTTAATCTTAGTATAAAAAATCTATATATTGAGGCCTGGCCGGTTGGGAGATTTCTTTCTCCTTGATCAGCAGGTTTGTTCCTGCAGCTCTTCTCTGTTTTGTTCTTCTTTTCTCCTCTCCTATTCATTCTTTTCTTTTACCTGTTTGTGCACACCATATACAGATTGTGTACGTTCTGATAAGCTGATCTTCTGTCATGATTTGACAATCCCATCAGACCATGTAAAATTCAATTTAAACAGAAAATAACTATATGATCAGGTCTGCTTGAATAGAAAGGGTTCCTCCTTCAATCCATTTTCAAAAGATTTGCATCAAGGGATATTCCTTTAAGCAAGATGGTTATTGAGGGCATAAATACTAAAAGAGTAATGAGAAGAAGTTTAGATATTGCATCAGCATGAAACAATGGATTGCAATATTCATAATTGCATTCATCCTATGATCAGAATGATACGTGATTAAGTATTGAAGTTGTAAAGGCACAAACCTCAACTAAAATTGCAAGATCAACGACTATGCTTGTAACATATCCAAGGACTAAACCAATGACACTCCTTGCAACAGATGATGAACCAATATCCACATCAATCTGAAAAAATAAATTCACATCAGCACCAATGTGCAATAAATGTGAGGATCTCTCCCCTCTTAAAACTTTATAGAAAATCTGTGCCATCGAACAAAATTTTAACGTCACTAAACAACCATATGTAGGCAGATACTAGAAAAATATTTCACATAGCTCCGTTACCTCACATGCCGCTGAGTATAAGCTGGTTTCCATTAGAACTATCATGTCACATGCACGAATTTGTAACTTCATTTCCTTTTTTTTTGAATCATTAAAAGAAGAGTTTTGACATTTAACATAGGGATTGGAGATGGATCTGCTCAAACAGTTGAGGATGGAAAATAGTGACTTCTACATTATAATGTGGTTGGAAACTTTTGGGCATTCTTACTTGTCTTTCAAGCGGGTTGGAGGAGTCTTGGTCTCATTAGTTAATAAACTTGACCATTTATTTGCTTTGAAGTCCAATGGACTTTTGGAAGAAAATATTTTAGTGGTCTTTCGAATAATTTGGTAAAGAAAGGAATGGAAGAGTTTTTTAAGGCTATAACAGAACTCCTTCCAAGAATTTGGAGGGATATTTGCTTTATAGTGGATAGAACTTTGTTATTATATTTAGGATACAACCACTACTCAGACATTTGATGAGTTGGGTTACATGACCTCTCTACTAGTCTTGATACGCGTGTGATGGTCTGGATTAGGCTTTGGTGCTTAAAGACTTAAAGACATGTCATGCATAGGCTTTGATATGAATTGGCAAGAGTATGATTATTTTGTATGTATTTGCATGTATGATGACACTAATATCTCTCATTCTCCCCCAACTGTACATTTTAAGTTTCTAATATATTTTAATGATATTTAACTCTGCCAATGAGAGCTTGCCTTACACTGCTGGTCCCAGTCCTGGATAAAGGAGGCTTGTGTCAAGTTGACAGCTGGCATTAAAATTTTTGCCAAATCATGTTTTATCTTTTCATGCTGGATATGGTACTGAACAGGACGGAATGGCAGAACAGGATTAAAGAGCCTAACCCTATATAATTGGGGCAAGGGTTAGACAATGATGATGTATTTTAATAATATTTATTATTATTAATCAAAAAATAAAAAAATAAAACAGAAAAAATTAAGAGAATGTATATGGAAAATACCTGGTCACATGTTAATATCATCTAACCACTTACAGATAAAGACAAGATAAGATCACATGAGCCAGGAATATTTTATTCAACAACCTTTTTTGGGGCTGAAATTGTTGTCAAGTAGGTGAACAAGTGTAAGATTATCCAGATTGTTATAAATTCATTTCATCTAGTTTTGACAATTGAGTTAATTCCTTAGTTCAAATTTACAACAATATTTAATTTTGATTACCAATGCATAAATAATCAGAATTAGGGTGACAAGAGGATTCTGGAACCAATTTGGTTTTTACTTACCTCAAGGAAATTATCTTTTCTAAGGTATCTACAAGTTACTGCTTTCCCCAAAAGGCAAGCTTTTGTCCCAACTGCACGCTTGACCATCCAATATCCCTGGGTGACTCACCACAATGCATTAGCAACCAACAGCACAAAGAGTATGCATAAAAGATAAAATCCAGAGATTCAGAGGTTCTTGATCTAGGTTACCACACTTCACACCTCTATAATACTTGGAATAAGTTTGAATCTCGCATTTCGGAACATGTCAGAACCGTCGATGAATCTATCCAGTAAAGATTGTTTCTTTATAGGCCTGTTAGCACCATAATAGAGAACCATACTATAGTTTGGTTTTGCTGGGACCTGAAAAAAAAGCAGAACAATAACATCATTTTCTACCTCAAAAGGTGAAATTATATTATGGCAAGAAATCAATCTATAGCACATAATCCAATTGAGCACAATCATACCAAGCACATTGAGGTAGATTGTCACTTTGTTAAGGATTGGAGAGGTATGTCTCCCTTATGTGACAACTGACCAACGGTTAGCAGACATCTTTACAAGGGAGTACCTCAGCTGAAGCCACAAAGTGCTCTTGGCAAGTTGGGAATGATGGCCATACTCCCAACTTGAGAGGGAGTGTTAACAGGCCAGTTTATGCTGATCTTGTTAAAATGTTGTAATTGTTTCACCTTTAGTTCTGCAAGGGCACTTTTGTAATTTTCCTTGTATTTTATGATCACCCTAGTATAAATACTTGGTGCCGCCAACAGGACTTTTTGCCTCACATTCTTCTTCTCTTCTCTTCTCCACTCTTTCTTCTCTTCTCTTTCAGCTTTCTATTGATATTCCCAAGATAATATGGTATCAGAGCAGGTCTGTTAGGCCAGAAAAACAGAATCGATCAAGTGTTCCATCCCTTTTGGCTGTGTTTCTCTTGGAGAAGCTTGAGAATACCAATCGGACTGGTCTGAGAAGGCTTTTCATCTCTCCCTCTCTCTCTTGGTCGTGTACCAATAGAACCTTCTGTAAGAGGTTCATGTGAGTTATGTTAAGGGTTTAGAACCTGTTTTTCAATCTTTTTGTGGATCTTGTGACCCTTTATGGTGTCTTTATAAGTCAGGGTATGACTTGTACTTGCTGTAACAGCAGTAAGAAGTAGATGTTTGGTGATCGTAGGGCCAGATTTGTCCTGGGTGGTGACTGTTTCACTACTATTTGATGCTGTATATGCTTTTCCAGCAACTATACTGTGTGTGAACTGGATAAATAATCAGAAACTACCCCCCGCTAGTGCTGGACTGTGTATGGACTGAAAAATAATAATAAAATATATTTTTCTGGTCCTCAATCTATTAAAGGTAGATTGCCACTACATCAGATATCAGACCTTACAGGATAACAAACGAAGAAAATTAGAATTTGTTAATCACTTAAGACTGATTTGATCTTATATCCAAGCAACCCTAAGCAAAATCAATAGTTTTAACCGACCAGATTGAACAAGTTAACCTTAGGTTTATGGCATTCTTCTCATTGAAGGGTGAGTTCAACCAGTCTAGTTGTCTAGAGCTCAATTGATGAGTGAGTGGCTCCTTTAGAATTGCAATTGGATGGGATTTCCTATAGCAGGCTTTGCTTGTTAATTTGAGGGTACAAGTGAGTTTCTTCAAGAGATCAGGTGCAGACTTCAAGGTCCAGATTTACTGTTTGGAATCTTCTCTTTTTGAGTTTTGTTTTTTGGTATCAGTTCTGGGCTTCTTTTGTAGATTAGATGTTAGAACTTTTCTTGGAGGTAGGGTGCAAAGGATTTATTTTGCCTTCTTTTTTCATTGTCTCCTGCCCTTTTATATGCATCTTGTATCCCATTTTCTTCTTTTACATGATATAATATGTAATCATCTTTGCTATCTATATGAAAAAAATAATAGATAACAATATTTTATTCACAGTGGTTATGTCAAAAGATACCATTACATACCTGTAAATTAATGACCAGAATGAATGGAAGTTTCTTCCCAGCTTCTGACTGAAATTGAGAAGCAGATATTATACAGGGAATTAGGATCTTCCAGATTATATTAAAATAATTAAAAGAAAAATATATAGACAAACTGAAATGTATATATAATATAATATATTATATATACACATTTGAGTTTATATATAATCCAAAGCCTTCTTTTAAACTGAATTTGTTTCTTTACAACTCTTAGACCCCAAAACAAGCAACAATAGCATCTGATTTTTCTAAAAGTAATATAACTAATATTTTAAATTTGAGGTGAAAATTATGTTGAGATGTTGAATCCTAACATAAGATCCTTCATATTGTATCTTTGAATTTAATTATTCTTGACTAGCCATATTGAATCACATTTTAATAATAGTTAATAGGCATCTGAAACAGTAGATTATTACAGTACTAAGAAAAAGGTTGACAAAAAGAGGAAAGAGAGAACCATAGGCAAGTTGAATTGGAAGAACAAAATATAAAAGAACACCTCTGCCAGTGTGGGTTTGTCTTACACTGCCAGTCCCAATCCTGGATAGAGGGTTGCATCAGGTTGGCAGCCAGCATTCAAAACCTTTTGCCAAATCCATGGTTTCTGAATTGTTGCAAGTTGAAGGGGCTAGAAGGGATAGGGACCAAAATGGATTTTGGTTGAAGTAGTAAGAAATGATTTAAGCTCATAATTTAACGATAAGTATGGCATTAAACAGAACAGAATGACAAAGTAGGATTCATATATCTGACCCCATATAGTGCGGATAAAGCTTGGATGATAATGATGAAAATATAAAAGAAAATGATCAATGAAATTGCATAATTGAATGTAAATCGTCCTACTTAATCACTAAAATTGGCAGTAAGTTTTATTTTACCTGAACAAGACACTTGGAACTCAGTGCAACCTTATCCATGTTATGATCAGATTTGAACCAATCAACTGCTAAAAGCTTCAAAAGAGGATCTCCTCCCATTACCTTAAAAGAAAGGAAAAATGCAATGCGTTTACTCTATTGATAGGTCAAAAACTCCAATTATATGAAAATTTCTTGAAGAGTTATATAATGTCTAAATTAGTGCAAGTAACATACAATCTATACAATATTCATAACTGGAATAAGTAAGATGATTGCATTAGCAGGAAATACACAAAAGTATTTGTTAAGGCAATGCTGAGGATAATCAAGTGGCTGCTACTCAAGGCTTTTTTGTCAAGGTATTTTAGAAAGGGCAAAACCAGTGGCACATTGGCTCTTTGGTCATTAAAGTTCCTGTGTCTTGTCATTTTTCCAAGCTGTGAATGAATGGGGCCAAGTGGTAGTTACCCATGATTCAGCACCGAACTATATAACAATGCAGGTGGTAGTTACCCAGTAATTGCAACTCAAACTGCACTTTCATGAATCTTTGAATCAAGGATATCTAAATAATATTAAGATACAATTCTAGAAATGATGGCAGTTTGACCATTGTACATTTTTTCAAACAGTAATTTTCCTTGAAATAATGTGTATTACAAGTGCCAAAATAGAAAGAAACCTGCCTTAGAATTATCATGTAAGTATGTCTTTCCTCTTATCATAAATCCTTGTCCTCCAGGTGAAGCCCAACAGTTTACATCAGTTTCATCTTTTCCTTGGCACATGGAACCATGAAACTGGCTTGCATCAATACTGATTGGAGAAAATTTGTCATCCAATTCATTGGATTCAACTGAAACTGCATCCAAATATTTAAGTATCATCGAGTGTAAGCAAAAGTAATTGATTGCAATCTTACAGCTTGATGCTGCAAACATGGATTTATACGTGAATGGCAATAACTATCATGACAAGAAACTTAAAATATGGCATCTTTTCCTTGCCAATTAGAAACTGTATAACCTTCACATACACTGAGACTACATGTTGGGTTTTATGTACACTATTTTTTTGATAAATGGTTTTATGTACACTATTATAAGAAAAGTCTTTATAATTTTTTTATCATCAAGAGAAAAAAAAAGCTTCATTAAAAATAAAAGAAAGGCATAGAAAAGGGACAAAGAAAGAGAACAAAGAACAAAGCCATGCTCAAAGAAAAATACAGATTATGTTGGATTAGTTCACTTCAGCCAACACATAAGCCCTAGAGTTTGCTGGTCTCAGGATTCATCTGAATGATATGTTAACTCTGGATATTAGATCTGGCTACCTGATATGGTATCTAAGAATCCAAGGCCATCCAAACTATTTAAGCATCTACCCTACTGTAAAATAGGATTCATACTCCAGTTTAATATAGTAAATGCTCAACAAAGTATTGTTGTCTCATTCCTTGAAGCAAGCTAGGATTTAGCTGAAGTGGAATCCGCAGATCCAACAAGAATATGAAGATAAGGAAGATCACCCCCTTGTGGTATCTTAAAATTCTGTAATGCCTGAAGGAGCAATAACCTTGGTAATATGTGTTGGGTTGTGTGCGCTCACATGGTCTACAATCATATCAAGTCAAGTTAGAAATATTAACATGGCCTAACATGTTAGGCGATTGGTTCAAGTGAAAAATCAAATCACCCAATAATTCGATGAATTAACATGGTGACAGCACTTTCTTGCAACCCTATAATAAAACATGGAAATTCTAACAATCAATTGTAAAACCAAATTACCCAGTGAGTGGTTGCCTTTTTTCTTAACCTAAATGACATAAAAACAACCCACTTAAATATTCTACCCCTTATTGAATTCTAACAATCAACTGTTTCCCTTGCTGCCCTCCACAATATTCTACCTCTTTTCTTAGGCTGTTTAGTAAATTTGGACTAATAACTGTTGAGGATTTAATCAGTTTTGTGGAGATTTAGCAGCAATCTTTTATATGTTTGTTGTTTAGATAGCAAGTGGGGACCACAACACTCTTGTTGGGCCCTTTGTTGATTTGGTGCTTGGACCTTTTTGGACTTCTCTAGGTTTTTTAGAGTGGGCGGTTGGGTTTCTGGATAGTTTTAAGCTTTCTAGAGTGATTGAATCACTCTTCTCTCCAGTGGGAGACGGTGGGAGAAGAGGGTTTTCTCTCCAGATAGGGTTTTCTCCTTCTAGAAAGGTTAGCCGCCACTATGAGTGAGGTCGATCTGATCTTAGAGACTTTCTACCTAGTGTTTTGCTGGTTTTGAATTGTTTGAAGTCGAGATGGAGGGCTGGAGTACTGAGCAGAAGTCGACTAGTAACATGGGTCCAGATGTTGGAGGTACAAGTGATATGTTTGGGTCTGGAATTATTACCACAGTTAAATTGGATGGTACAAATTATTTAGAATAGGCACAATCAACCAAGATGGCCATTGGTGCTCGTGGAAAACTAGGGTACATAACTGGGGAGGAAAAGAAACCTAATACAGATTCCTCCCGGTGGGTACAAGAAAATTACATGGTGATGTCCTTGCTATGTAATTTCATGTTACCCCACATTGGCAAAAATTTTCTATGGGCTAATACAGCAAAGGAGATTTGGGATGGAGTGACTGATACCTATTCCCAGAAGCAGAATGTAGCCAGAACCTACCAGTTAAGTAATCAAGTGATTAGTATAAAATAGGAAGATAAACCTCTTGCCATGTATTTCTCCATGCTGAAAACCCTTTGGCAGGAGATAGATCACTTAGTAACTGTGGTTTGGGAAAGTGTGAATGATGCATCAACCTATCACAAGTTGGTAGAGAAGAATAGGTTTTTGAGTTCTTGGCCGGGTTAAACCCTGAATTCGACATTGCTAGGCAACATATCCTTTCTAGAGAGATTGTGAAACTTTCTCAAGCTTATTCCCCTTGAGCCCGAGCCTATTATTTTTCCTAATGATAATGCTCCTGTACCTAACACTATTGTTGCAGCCGATCCCATTGACCTTGATCTTCCCATTGCACTTTGCAAAGGGAAGAGAAAGTGTACTGCCCATTGCATCTCACACCATCTCTCCTACAGTGCCTTATCATCCTCCTACTGAGCCTTCCTTTCTTCCTTAGATTTTGTGTCTATACTTAGGAATGTTACTGAAGCTCTCTCCAAACTTGAGTGGAAAATGGCTATGCAAGAAGAGATGGAAGCATTGGCTAAGAACCAGACTTGGGAGAAAGTTGATCTTCCTCTAGATAAGGAGACAGTCGGATGTAGATGGGTGTTCATTGTAAAATATAGGGTTGATGGCAGTATAGAGAGGTACAAGGCAAGGTTGGTTGCAAAAGGGTATACACAGACCTATGGTGTTGATTATATGGAGACCTTTGCACCAGTTGCTTAGATGAGTTCAGTTCGAATACTCGTCTCTAGCAGTCACCTATTCATGGCCCCTATTTTACCTTGATGATAAAAATGCATTCCTTAATGGTGATTTGCAAGATGAGGTATATATGGACATCCCAACTGGTTTTTATGAAAATGTTGTTAAAGGAAAGGTTTGTAAGCTGAAAGAATCATTGTATGGTTTGAAACAGCCACCTAGGGCATGGTTTGATAGGTTCAGAGGGGCACTTATCTGTTTTGGGTACACAAAAATCCAGTTTGATCACACCCTCTTTGTGAAAATGAGAGATGCACTTGTGTCAATTCTGATTGTGTATGTGGATGATATAGTAGTTACAGGAAATGATCTGAAGGAGATTGATGCTCTCAAGAAACCATTACAGTAAGAGTTTGAGATCAAAGATCTTGGTGAGCTAAAATACTTCCTATGTTTGAAGTTGCAAGACCCAAGCATGGGAATTTCATCTCTTAGAGGAAGTATGTACTGGACCTACTACAAGAGACTAAGAAGTTGGGAACCAAACCAATTAATACTCCTATTGACCCATATCATAGAATTAATGTTGTGGATGGTGAATTGGTTAAGGATGTGGGGAGATATCAAAGAATGGTAGGCCGGCTATTATATTTGTGTATGACATGTCCAGATATCTCCTATACTGTCAGTGTTGTGAGTTAGTACATGCATGCACCTTGGGTTCAGCATTGGGAAATCATTGAAAGAATACTTGCATACCTGGAGAAGCACCCTGGCACAAGTATTCTTTTCTCAGACCATGAAAACTTGAAACTAGAGTCCTATACAGATGCAGATTGGGCAGGTTGTTTGGATGACAAGAGATCTACATCAGGGGCATGTACCTTTATGGGTGGAAACTTCATTTCATGGAAGAGTAAAAAACAAGCAGTTGTGGCTGATCAAGTGTAGAGGCTAAATATAGATCCATGGCTCATGGATCCTTAGAACTACTTTGGGTTAGGTCCCTACTAAGTGAGATTGGAATAAAAGTAGAGGAACTTATGATGTTATATTGTGACAACCAAACTGCAATCAATATTGCCCACAATCCAATTCAACATGATAGGACAAAACACATTGAAGTTGATAGGCACTTCATAAGAGAAAGGGTAGAAACCGGAGAAGTTTGCTTGCATTATGTCTCTTTAGAATTGCAATTGGCTGATGCCCTCATTAAAGGAGTTGCAAAGAACAAGCTTAAACATTGTAGGAATGCTCGAGTCAGGGGTATTTTGGTCATTCTGGATTATCTGCTTGAGAGTGAAAGGTCTATTGTATCTGAGTTTAAGTTAT